TAGACACCCGAGCTGTACCACTGTCTCTTAGACGCCCGAGCTGTACCACTGTCTCAGACTTAGACACCCGAGCTGTACCACTGTCTCAGTCTTAGACGCCCGAGCTGTACCACTGTCTCAGCCTTAGACACCCGAGCTGTACCACTGTCTCAGCCTTAGACACCCGAGCTGTACCACTGTCTCAGACTTAGATACTCGAGCTGTACCACTGTCTCAGTCTTAGATACTCGAGCTGTACCACTGTCTCAGCCTTAGACACCCGAGCTGTACCACTGTCTCAGTCTTAGACGCCCGAGCTGTACCACTGTCTCAGACTTAGATACTCGAGCTGTACCACTGTCTCAGACTTAGACGCCCGAGCTGTACCACTGTCTCAGTCTTAGATACTCGAGCTGTACCACTGTCTCAGTCTTAGACGCCCGAGCTGTACCACTGTCTCAGTCTTAGATACTCGAGCTGTACCACTGTCTCAGACTTAGATACTCGAGCTGTACCACTGTCTCAGCCTTAGACGCCCGAGCTGTACCACTGTCTCAGACTTAGATACTCGAGCTGTACCACTGTCTCAGCCTTAGACACCCGAGTTGTACCACTGTCTCAGCCTTAGACACCCGAGCTGTACCACTGTCTCAGTCTTAGATACTCGAGCTGTACCACTGTCTCAGTCTTAGACGCCCGAGCTGTACCACTGTCTCAGACTTAGACGCCCGAGCTGTACCACTGTCTCAGCCTTAGACACCCGAGCTGTACCACTGTCTCAGTCTTAGATACTCGAGCTGTACCACTGTCTCAGACTTAGATACTCGAGCTGTACCACTGTCTCAGACTTAGATACTCGAGCTGTACCACTGTCTCAGACTTAGATACCCGAGTTGTACCACTGTCTCAGCCTTAGACACCCGAGCTGTACCACTGTCTCAGTCTTAGATACTCGAGCTGTACCACTGTCTCAGACTTAGATACTCGAGCTGTACCACTGTCTCAGCCTTAGACACCCGAGCTGTACCACTGTTCTCGGTTCTAGACACTCATAGGTTGAAAATCTGCCAGAGGTCTGAGCTACATTTTATGCAAGTTTTCAGAGTTGCGAATTACCTGTTGTCACTTAAAACAATATGATGACATTATCCATTTCAATTTAAAGAAGAAATTGCACAACGATAACAATCCGATTTTATTTTTTATATATTCGAAATGAATTGTATTTTTAAAACTAGGGACTAGTAGTTAAGCCATTGTTGTGTTTTGTTTTATAACAATAATAATAAACTTTATTTATTTTACAACAATTGCGAAACAAGTCTTTTCGGAACTCATATCACTCACACTTGTTGGCTCGGATAGAAGCGCGAGAGGGGTATTAGTGTGGGAGGAAATCGGAGTACTTGGGGAAAACCACGTGGTCGGGCAGGTGACCCTTTACCTTTTCACATCCATTCCGGAAATCGAACACCGGATGGCTAAGTGAAAGGCGAGTGCGTTATCAATGCGCCACCCGACCATCTTTTTTGTGTTTTGTTTTGTTTTTTTGTTTTTTTGTTTATCGGTGAATTATGGATACAAGACAATCCGTCTATACAACATTATTTCTCTGCTACAACAGCTCACATCACGTAACTACTTACTGGAGTGGTCAAGGATTCATTATTGACCATCATGTCCGTAAAAGGCCTGATACATGATATTTCAGTGACATCGCTCTTTAAAGTCACCCCCGAGATAATCCCATTCTATAGCATAAAATACGTCAAACTCAGTAGTACTATTCACTGAAACAAACATCATCCATTAACACCGTAGATGGTTACAAAATCATTTATCATTATCGCTGTGTTATTTTGTTTAGACAAGTGTGTTTTTTACAACCATATACATGTATTTATATTATACCAGTCGTTATTTTGGTGGTACATATACACTCAAAATCCAGTTGACATGGAAACAAATATTTCTAACTTTTTATTTTCGAAATGTTCATGTACGTGGCAAAAGGTCATGAACGGTAAAACTCCTGATAAACTAATAGATTCACTTTATCGGTAAGCTTGTCGTTCACCCGCCTATTGCAAACCATTTAAGACTCCAGCTAAATTAGCCAAACTTAGACCGTTATAGTGTATCGTGTTTAGAAAATACAATATTCAGTTGGATAATTAAGCAGTATTTGTAATTATATAACATATATTTGGGATTGAAAATCAATTCTTAAGTGTATATCAATTCCTTTTCCAAATTTGATTAAACCAACCAACGGCGAATCTCATAACATATTTCGCCTTTGATGTCGATCATGACATTCTTATGAAATGCGAAAACGACCAAATTTATTGAATTATGGCACTAGCGCACCTCTCAGTCTAGATTTCTATATTCCATTCGATCAACTTTGGTATTTCCCAGTCGCCTTTAGGCTCTTGGCTTCAGTATTGAGTCCTAGAAGGACGAAGCAGCTGTATGATATAGCAAAGCTGGCGAGTCCCAGAAGGACGAAACAGATGTTTTAAGTAGTATCGCTGGCGAGTTCCAGAAGGACGAAACAGATGTATAATGCAGTAGCATTCCTGCTTCATGATGCAATATTTATGTTCTATGATGGAATTTGATTCGTTTATCGACTTCATAATATCTAAATGCAAGACTATCAAAATAAGCTGTTCACTTGTGTGTCTTTTGTACAAATTTGTGACCTTTTTTCACAGTAGCCAGGCCTTCGCCGTACAATCTATATCTCCGTATCCAACGTTAACTGTTGAATACCACTGCACCGCGTGTCACCAAGTGGTGGTAACTTTGGTCGATGGTAAGATTAACCATTCAAAACTAACTTCGTGTACGAAATTGTTAACCCCATTTTATTTATACAAAAAAACAACAAAAAACAAATAAACAAAAAAACGCGTGTCGCCTTCAAAGTCTTATCTGGGGGCTGATGAAGGGTAAAACTACATCAACTTATATAAGGTAAGGTAGTGAAGACTTTAAATGAGATACTAGTTGAGGTAACACAGTGCCGGAATCAATTTGAAAAGGAGAGAAAAGTATGCGTATGCTGAACCGTGTGACATTTGCTACCCTATTTTACATATTTATTCATTTCAAAAAGCAATACCATATTAAATGTGTAGTCAAATATTGACCTGAAAAATGGTGTGACTTGTTAGAGCAATATTTGAATTCCGCCGTGATTTGTCATAATGCTTTGGTGGAAAATTGTGACGTAACACCTAAATTGTGTCATCAGGTCTTATCTCCCTTTACAGAAAAAAGAGAATAGTGATATGTTATTCGAATGAAAGTGGAGGTCAACAAGCAGATTACCTGCAATTTTTTGGGGGGTTATATTTCCTCTTCTCGTTTAGGGCTTTTTATTATCTTAACCTAAATAAACATTGCCCAACGTTTGACAATTGTGATCACTGGCTGTTCACCAGTCGTGACCACGTGACTGTGACAATGCAACCTTTACCTGAGTTCACAGGTGAAATAGTGGTGCTAGTTACGTACAGGTACGTGTATCTATCATGCAACAACACTGCATGCTCCAATGCAATCAAGCCGTTTGAAGTCAGGCGTATTATAACAGATTTATGTATACCAGTAAAATAGTATCTAGTAGTGCAGATCTGCAGAACAATATCTACTCTTTATAAAGTTCCAAGTTATTTCGGCTCCGAAAAAATCTTTTTACGAAACCCTTGTAAAACTAGTCAATTGAAAGGGATTAAAATTCTCTGTGTCTGTGATGTGAGGACGCAGCAACAGACGAAATTATTGACTTTTGACATCTGCATTTTTAAGTTGTTTTTTCTTCATTATCATATAAACAAATACAAGGACTTACCGGAAGTAACACTGATCGTCCTAGTACAAGGACTTACCGGAAGTAACACTGATCATCCTAGTAATCCCTAATACCCGTGGTGCAGACAATCGATGTAATCCGTTATCAAATAGATATCATCTTAGGGAAATTGAAAGAAATTGTTATCTTTATTTTTCGTTAAATCCCTAGGCGAAATGTCTATGTAATTTAAAACGAATTAACTGACTAAGTTTAGATAGTTTGGAAATCCGTGTATTTTTATCATGCAAAATTATTCTACAATACGTGAGTGTCGGTGTTGTAGAAAAGGTTGTACATCGTGTTAATATGCCAACACATCTCAACCTTTCGCTCTGGTAGATGACCTTGCATTCTTCTGATCATGCATGTGTTACCGACAAGGGATCCACTCCAGGGGGTTCTCAACCAGTAATACAAAATCGAGCATTTATTTAATCATTGCCAAAAGGAAAAACATCAGCTGATAACTAAAACCTAAATTAGTCTATGCAAAATAAGTCAAGATATTGAAATTAATCAATTTCCAAATTCAAATATGTATCGTTCAGGGTATGGAGTAATAATGAGCATGGAGTTGTACCGACAAACGCGTCTATATAAATCATTATTCAGGTAACACTGCCGTCAAAAGATTCACGCATCTGATACATGTACAATAAAAGGTCGTTGAATTGGAGGCAAGAGAAACAGGTTGAGCGATGGGTTTGTCCCCCAACGGTTATCGAATCGTGGGTGTTTCCAATACACCTCGGGTGCAAGTATGGATACGAGTAAACTGGAGTGTATAATACACAGCTACATTATCTAGGTGTACACCAATATCGGTGGCAGAAGTTATTGGTTAAAATTTACGCATTGCTGATGGTCCGAATGATGATTGATGATAGTGTGGACAGGTTGTCAACATCAAACACTGGAGGGAGTCGGGTGGCTGTATAATGCTGCAATACTTTCTTGGTGACCACTATTGCCGGTACAAGGAAACTAAACAAGACGAATTCCTAGGATAATTTTTTTTTATTTTCCGACTAATTGATCAATATGCCTCGTGAGTATGACAAGGGAATATTATCTAAAACTAAAAATAGAGATGAAATATTTTTTGGAATATTCTTAAACGGATACTTACGTTGGTATTTTATTTTGATTTATCCAGATAGAACAGCTGCTCAGAAGATCACTAGGAAAACTATGGAGAACGGCAGCGGTTATGATAGAGGTAAGTGTTCCCTAAACAAACGTTATATATCAATTCTATTTTATGTTTTATTTTATAAGAACTTTTGCTGTAAGAACCTACATTTGGTCAACCCCATAGGGGACAAAGGTCCACGGAACTGTGCAAATACACACTCTAGTTTGGCAACATGTGTTTTTTATCATCACCAATTAATAAAAAAAGATTGATCCCCTATAACCAGCCATCTAAGGATCAATAGCACGTATGTTACAATGGGCATTATTTTAAGCCGATTGTGTGACAAATATTGTACACAAATCTGCACGAGTGTGCGCAAGATTAATAAGCACGGGACAGGATATATACTTTAAACTTTATTAGGATTTTTATTATTTTTTTAGTTTTTTTTTAGTTTTTGTTATTTCATCTTGTTAATTAAAAATTTTAATAACTTCAGACATTTCGATAAGATATGTATTCATAATATTGATCTTTCCATTTTTGTTTATTTATTTTTTATGTTTTAATTTTTTTTAAGAAACAGTGGTGATGGTTAATCATGAACACTCAAAATAAGCTTTCGATTGAAGAACCAGGTTCAAGTTCAAAATCTTTAACAAGCGTTGGGTCTATCAGCTCATCTGGTTAATAAAAAAAAAAGTGTCCTTTTAAAAGTATATACAATAGGCTTACACATGTACATGCTCAATGAAGTCACAAAATGCTAAATAAACCAGGCGAGAACAACCAATCAGATAATCTGGTTCTCGAAACATTAGCTGCTTTTTATGTATTTGACCAAATTTTACTTTATATGAACATAGATAAGCGCAATCTAATTTTAGCGCTTTATTGGTTTTCGCGATTCAGCGCAATGATTATGTATAAAACAACATACGGAAAACTCTAATTACGCAATAATTTTTTAATCCAATTATTTACAGCGCAAAAACCGCTAAAATAAGAACACCGCAAAACTATGAACGTATACAGTATAAACAACGTAAAACATTAAACAAATGCTCATATCAGTACAAAACAGAACACGGAAGAACCAAATTATGGCCAACGAAACCCGCTGCTTAATCATAATTTGAACCTTAAATTAATTGAAAAATAACAAATATGAAGACATCTTTCTTAGCAGCACGTGTTAAACAACAGGTTATCGGCAACATAGAAAAAAACATCACACCTACACATGATTGATATAACTGTATAAACCAGGACATAAGTTCATCATTACATGAAATTACGTTTTTCCGTTTCTAACATTACTTTATCATCATTGTTGAAATAGTTCTCAGAATTTTTAAATGACGCGCTTCGTTTATTGGGTTACAAGGGACATTTTCCCAGCAATAGTCATAAGTTCATCTACAATAATGACATATGTATTCAGTAATTCACAATTAACATTAGGTTGGCATTAGGGAACGGATTTTAGCATTTCTATAGTTATTTCATTTTTTCTTTGTTTTTGTTAATCTGTCATTGTAGATAAAGGTATACTTATTATTGATATACTTGCACTAAATTACCCCGATATAAGTATACAAGGTGTGAAGTCAATGTAGATATAATCGGCCATGTGTCATTACCGCCAGAATAAACAACAAAAACAATGATTAACAATGTCTATATTCATCGTAAATACCTAACGATTCGCTAGGATTCATTATAATATTTTTAAAAACCACTTTTCGTGCATTTGAATATAAAATGCGAGGACTTTATTCTTTTTTTTTCAAAAATCGATTATGATGATATAAAGTTAATTATCATAAATGCGTTACTCATGTTTAACAGAGCTGTGTTTTTAACATGCGTTATACATCATACGCAATTATTTAAAGTGCACAATATGATTATGGTGCATTCCACAAGAACATTTATGAGCGCATGAACACCGCTATACGTTATGATAGAACCCCTTACATTGTCTCAGACTATGTTGATGTCATTGACGTCATTTAAATTCGTAACTTTTTTAATTACTGGTTTCGTTTTTGTTTTTCTGTATTTTTTTCTGATTTATTGGGTAATTATAGAAATGATCACATTAATTGTTGTGCGATATGAAAATATCAACCCAGGCTATTGACAGGAAAGTGACCAGTGCAGGTACATTTATTATGCTAATATGTTAGTGATTAATAGAAATGACAGATGATGGCGGAAACGGTGTTTGGCTTATATTATACCGCTCCTTAAATGACACAGATCGTGCTTATATCATACCTGTACTTAAGTTAGGTTCATATGATAACTGTACTTGTGCCAAGTTCATATCACACCCGTACGTATGTTAAGTTCATATTTCACCGGTACTTGTCAGGTTCATATCATATCTGTACTTTTGTAAGGTTCATATCATACCAACCCTCATGTCAGGTTCATATCTCACCTGTACTTGTCAGGTTCATATCATACCTGTACTTTTGTCAAGTTCATATCATACCTGTACTTTTGTCAAGTTCATATTTCACCAATCCTCATGTCAGGTTCATATCATACCTGTACTTTTGTCAGGTTCATATCATACATGTATTTATGTCAAGTTCATATCTCACTTGTACTTATGTCAAGTTAATATCTCACCTGTACTTATGTCAAGTTCATAACAAGTTGACAGCTTTAATACCTACATATTCATGACAGTCGATATCTCCGAACTGGTTCTCCAATGAGATCGCCGAACTGGTTCTCCAATGAGATCGCCGAACTTACTGTCCAATGAGATCGCCGAACTGGTTCTCCAATGAGATCGCCGAACTTACTGTCCAATGAGATCGCCGAATTTATTGTTCAATGATCCTTACCGATCTCGCTTCTCCGAAACACTGCATTTAGTTCAGTCTGCTTCATTTGACATGCATCAAAACGCATGTCTGATTTGAAACATACCGCTACACATCAGTTTAGCTAATTACACTGTATATATCATGTATTAAACTTATATTTTCCATTTGTTAGAAAAAGCTAAGTCAGGAATCTTACTAGCGGGTACTGAACTCTTAGGACATAAAATCCATCTTATCATACAGCCTCGTGATGTCTCTGCTAGTAAACTTCTTGTAAGTTGCGTGATGCTTAACAATAGGCAAGATTACAAATGTACATCATGATAAAATTAATTTACCATTCTATCATCTACTAAAGTCCGAGTGATTTTGAAGTGGTTTTGTAATTTTCTGTCATACAATTCATTTTTGCCATTTTTCAAAGCGCATACTGCTACCGATTATATTAATCCTTTCTTTTTGTCCAAACAGCACAAGGATTTACGAACAAATGAATTAGTATAATTTATAGTTGGATACAGATAAAGCTTTAAAGATTCATTTATACAAAGGTATTGTATCCTTTTACCCTGGCTATGATGTATGATTTACACTGATTTCCCTAATGGTCTTGTGTAGTGTTGTTTATTACATTTGGGACTGCTCTATGTTAATTCCTGTAAGATTTAGATAAGATTTTTATTGTATATATGTACGGGTCTACTATATGATTTGTATAGTGTTGTGTAGTCCTTGTAGGATGTACGGGTCTACAATATGATTTGTATAGTGTTGTGTAGTCCCTTGTAGGTATATATGTACGGGTCTACAATATGATTTGTATAGTGTTGTGTAGTCCTTGTAGGATGTACGGGTCTACAATATGATTTGTATAGTGTTGTGTAGTCCTTGTAGGATTCAATAAGATTTTTATTGTATATATGTACGGGTCTACAATATGATTTGTATAGTGTTGTGTAGTCCTTGTAGGATGTACGGGTCTACAATATGATTTGTATAGTGTTGTGTAGTCCTTGTAGAATGTACGGGTCTACAATATGATTTGTATAGTGTTGTGTAGTCCTTGTAGGATGTACGGGTCTACAATATGATTTGTATAGTGTTGTGTAGTCCTTGTAGGATTCAATAAGATTTTTATTGTATATATGTACGGGTCTACAATATGATTTGTATAGTATTGTGTAGTCCTTGTAGGATGTATATACAATATGATTTGTATAGTGTTGTGTAGTCCTTGTAGGATTCAATAAGATTTTTATTGTATATATGTACTACTATATGATTTGTATAGTATTGTGTAGTCCTTGTAGGATTCAATAAGATTTTTATTGTATATATGTACGGGTCTACTATATGATTTGTATAGTGTTGTGTAGTCCTTGTAGGATTCAATAAGATTTTTATTGTATATATGTACGGGTCTACAATATGATTTGTATAGTGTTGTGTAGTCCTTGTAGGATTCAATAAGTTTTTTGTTGTATATATGTACATATCTACTATATAATTTGTATTGTTGTGTTTGTGTTGTACTTATATACAGGTCTACTATCTCCATTTTCATTCTGTAGTGCGTTATCATATGATTCAGCGAAAGAAAATTGTTCCATGTCATTGACATTGAAAAAGTAAACTACACAACCAGATTATATCAAGAACATGGAATTGAATAGATTAATTATAAAACTACAAGCCAAGTAAGGATTGTACACGAGTTGATAAGAGCTCTATCTATCACACAGTGAACCATTGCAAATAAACTCTGATACCATAACAGACGTAAACACTCTAAAAATGATCCATTTTGATATGGTCAGTATGTGTTGTGATATGGTCAGTACGACTAGTGGTGTGATATGGTCAGTATGTGTTGTGATATGGTCAGTATGTGGTGTGATATGGTAAGTATGTGTTGTGATATGGTCAGTACGACTAGTGGTGTGATATGGTCAGTATATGTTGTGATATGGTCAGTATGTGGTGTGATATGGTCAGTATGTGGTGTGATATGGTCAGTATGTGTTGTGATATGGTCAGTATGTGGTGTGATATGGTCAGTATGTGTTGTGATATGGTCAGTATGTGTTGTGATATGGTCAGTATGTGGTGTGATATGGTCAGTATGTGGTGTGATATGGTCAGTATGTGTTGTGATATGGTCAGTGTGTGTGTTGTGATATGGTCAGTATGTGTTGTGATATATGTGTTGTGATATGGTCAGTATGTGATATGGTCAGTATGTGTTGTGATATGGGTCAGTATGTGATATCAGTATAGTGTGTGTGATATGGTCAGTATGTGTTGTGATATAGTCAGTATGTGTTATATGGTCAGTATGTGTTGCGATATGGTCAGTATGTGTTGCGATATGGTCAGTATGACTAGTGTTGTGATATGGTCTGTATGTGTTGTGATATGGTCAGAATGTGGTGTGATATGGTCAGTATGACTAGTGTTGTGATATGGTCAGTATGTGTTGTGATATGGTCAGTATGACTCCTGTTGCGATATGGTCGGTATAACTAGTGTTGTGATATGGTTTGTATGTGTTGTGATATGGTCAGTATGTGTTGTGATATGGTCAGTATGACTACTGTTGTGATATGGTCAGTATGTGTTGTGATATGGTCAGTATGTGTTGTGATATGGTCAGTATGTGTTGTGATATGGTCAGTATGTGTTGTGATATGGTCAGTATGTGTTGTGATATGGTCAGTATGTGTTGTGATATAGTCAGTATGTGTTGTGATATGGTCAGTATGTGTTGTGATATGGTCAGTATGATATCCTGTTGTATAGTGTGTTGTGATATGGTCAGTATGTGTTGTGATATGGTCAGTATGTGTTGTGATATGGTCAGTATGTGTTGTAATATGTGTTGTGATATGGTCAGTATGTGTTGTGATATGGTCAGTATGTGTTGTGATATGGTCAGTATGTGTTGTGATATGGTCAGTATGTGTTGTGATATGGTCAGTATGTGTTGTGATATGGTCAGTATGTGTTGTGATATGGTCGATATGTGTTGTGATATGGTCGATATGTGTTGTGATATGGTCAGTACGACTAGTGGTGTGATATGGTCAGTATATGTTGTGATATGGTCAGTATGTGGTGTGATATGGTCAGTATGACTCCCGTTGTGATATGGTCAGTATGTGTTGTGATATGGTCAGTATGTGTTGTGATATGGTCAGTATGTGTTGTGATATGGTCAATATGTGTTGTGATATGGTCAGTACGACTAGAGGTGTGTTGTGATATGGTCAGTATGTGGTGTGATATGGTCAGTATGACTAGTGGTGTGATATGTTCAGTATGTGTTGTGATATGGTCAGTATGTGGTGTGATATGGTAAGTATGACTAGTGTTGTGATATAGTCAGTATGACTCCTGTTGTGATATGGTCAGTATGTGTTGTGATATGGTCAGTATGTGTTGTGATATGGTCAGTATGTGTTGTGATATGGTCAGTATGTGTTGTGATATGGTCAGTATGTGTTGTGATATGGTCAGTATGTGGTGTGATATGGTCAGTATGTGTTGTGATATGGTCAGTACGACTAGTGGTGTGATAGGATCAGTGTGTGTTGTGATATGGTCAGTATGTGGTGTGATATGGTCAGTATGACTAGTGGTGTGATATGTTCAGTATGTGTTGTGATATGGTCAGTATGTGGTGTGATATGGTCAGTATGTGTTGTGATATGGTCAGTATGTGTTGTGATATGGTCAGTATGTGTTGCGATATGGTCAGTATGTGTTGTAATATGGTCAGTATGACTAGTGTTGTGATATGTTCAGTATGTGTTGTGATATGGTCAGTATGTGGTGTGATATGGTCAGTATGTGTTGTGATATGGTCAGTATGTGTTGTGATATGGTCAGTATGACTCCTGTGATATGGTCGGTATATGTGTTGTGATTTGGTCAGTATGTGTTGTGATATGGTCAGTATGTGTTGTGATATGGTCAGTATGACTACTGTTGTGATATGGTCAGTATGTGTTGTGATATGGTCAGTATGTGTTGTGATATGGTTAGTATGTGTTGTGATATGGTCTGTATGACTAGTGTTGTGATTATAATTGCAGTACTGGGTCATTATGTAATGTTATGTATGTACAGGAATAGACGCGACACTCTATTGTTTTTGATAATAATTGTGACTATATAAAAAATTGAGTGTAAGCTTAACCCAGTTATATTTTTGTAACTCTAGGTCGAAGAGGGAGTACTTACATTCAAGTGCGCATGCCCAGTCGCCCAGACAGACCTCATATTGATACAGAGGACCGTAAGTACACAATCTATATCGGGACATTATTGCTGGTTTCCTGCCATAGATTATAGAAATGTAAATAATAAACCATTGAAATCACGTAATATTCCATGAACTTAAAAAAGATCGCACCTGACTTTTGTATAATGACGTCATTTAAATGTGGACACCACGTGTTAGTTTCGCTAGTGTTCTGTAAACGATAGATCATTTTTATTTAATTTTCTCCGTAAAACAAACTATATTTGTTGAATTACAACAGAAAATCAATCACTTTAAAGAAATCGCGTCAAACAGTTTGTCATAGTTGTTGAGAATTGTTCTCACAAGAATGATCAGCTGTTTTCTGATAAATATAGACGCGCGGTGGTCACACTAAGTCCTCTGATGTACAGCAGAAAGATCAGTGACCCTGTGCACCACTCTAGCGCAAGAACCTGTCGTCGTCTTCTCTTTCAATTGCTCTCTTTTTCGTTGTGCCTTTTTAAATCATCTATTACAATCAAATTTCTATAAGCCCCGGTGAGACATGCCAAAGACATAGCTTGGGGACAAATATTAGACGTAATCGGTCCCTAATGCAGCTTATACATTAGCTTAGGTATATATGGTGAATATATCTACAAGATGAGTTGAGCAGCAAAATTTCGAGTTCGATCTGTTAGGATTTGTGCAATATACAAAAAAGGCAATCCAAAGTCTTATCCTTAAAAATCTGTTTTTAACCTTGCCTTCAAAATCAAGTATCAGTAATACTGATGTGGTACATACAGGCTTATACCAAATCTATGCTGAAAAATACGATTTTAAATATAACTTAACTGCTCATTCTATTTAATATCATTCATTTGATTTATAAGCCAAGTGATAAATACGTAGCTAATTTTTCATCATAAACAAGGTTGAGTGATATTACAAAGTGCTATGCAATACATTTAACGCCTCAGAGTAGCTCGGTTGTTGACTGAAATGACACTGATGACGTCACAGGGATCATCTGACGGTCGAGATAAAGTCCTTACTTGAAACTTGGTGCAATATGGCTTCTTTTCCAAATAAGATAACTGTACCATGATTTATTTTACGTCAGTGATGTATTCTTAATATGAGATTGCCAAACATCAAATGTGTTGTAGATTTGAAGATCTAGATAGAAAATGCATTGAAATAGACCAACAATGATAAAAATACCTTCTCTCATCTCGAATTTGGCATTTAAAATCATTCTTTGTTTACTTCGCTGTGTTTGTAAAGGATTATAATTTGCACCAGTTTGTCTGATGTTTTTTAATCAGAACTGTTTGTCCAAAGTGTTTTGTCAATATCAATCTCACTGGTATGTCATAACTTACACTCGATAGCATTATTATTTACTTAGCAACAATATTCAAGATCCCAGCTGACCTCAGGTACTCAGGGTACGTTACGAAAGCTCAAAAAGTCATGTCCAATTACTTCTAGGTACATGTAATAATGCTAGGTGTTGTTTGTTACAGCGACAGACGACACAAAAGAAGACTACGACCCTACAGATCGGGTTCAAACCTTGCTGAATTCCGTAAAGGACAAAGCTCATAAAACCCATAATATCTTCAGTGAATTAGATATACTCCGAAAGTATAACGATGATTACGAGTGGAGAGAAGCTGCTAGGTAGGTTGTTTATAAATCATTCTTTTTATTGTTTTCCTTTTTCAATTTCTTCCCTATTCCATAGATGTAAACAATAGAAACATTCAAATTTTGTTGTCCTTTTCAGATGGGTTAAATACGAGGAGAATGTTGAAGAGGGCGGTAAACGCTGGTCCAAGCCCCACGTAGCCTCGCTCTCAATGAAATCTCTATTTGACCTAAGAGGAGCTATATCAGAGGGAGCTGTCATTTTGGATTTAGACTCCTACAGCATCTCAGAGATCGTAGGTAGGGAGCTAGTTTACACTGTTACATAGGGAATATATTGTTACCCAGTATACCACAGATCGTAGGCAGGGAGCTAGTTTACACTGTTACATAGGGAATATATTGTTACCCAGTATATCACAGATCGTAGGCAGGGAGCTAGTTTACACTGTTACATAGGGAATATATTGTTACCCAGTATATCACAGATCGTAGGCAGGGAGCTAGTTTACACTGTTACATAGGGAATATACCACAGATCGTAGGCAGGGAGCTAGTTTACGTAGGCAGGGAGCTAGTTTACACTGTTACATAGGGAATATATTGTTACCCAGTATATCACAGATCGTAGGCAGGGAGCTAGTTTACACTGTTACATAGGGAATATATTGTTACCCAGTATATCACAGATCGTAGGCAGGGAGCTAGTTTACACTGTTACATAGGGAATATATTGTTGCACATCATATCACAGATCATAGGTAGGGAGGTTTACACTGACATATATTGTTACACTGTTACATAGGGAATATATCACAGATCGTAGGCAGGGAGCTAGTTTACACTGTTACATAGGGAATATATTGTTACCCAGTATATCACAGATCGTAGGCAGGGAGCTAGTTTACACTGTTACATAGGGAATATAGCTAGTTTACAGTGTTACCCAGTATATCACAGATCGTAGGCAGGGAGCTAGTTTACACTGTTACATAGGGAATATACCACAGATCGTAGGCAGGGAGCTAGTTTACACTGTTACATAGGGAATATATTGTTACCCAGTATATCACAGATCGTAGGCAGGGAGCTAGTTTACACTGTTACATAGAGAATATACCACAGATCGTAGGCAGGGAGCTAGTTTACACTGTTACATAGGGAATATATCACAGATCGTAGGCAGGGAGCTAGTTTACACTGTTACATAGGGAATATACCACAGATCGTAGGCAGGGAGCTAGTTTACACTGTTACATAGGGAATATATTGTTACCCAGCATATCACAGATCGTAGGCAGGGAGCTAGTTTACACCGTTACATAGAGAATATATCACAGATCGTAGGCAGGGAGCTAGTTTAGACTGTTACATAGGGAATATATTGTTACCCAGTATATCGCAGATCGTAGGCAGGGAGCTAGTAAAGAACATAACATAGGAAACGTATTATGATACAACGTTCAAAGTTTTGACCGACCACAGCGATGCTTCCTGCCCACTGCTTTAAAATTCGCCGATTTACTTCTTCCGACGCAAATGAAGCGTAGGTTGAATAAACTGGTTTTAGTAATGTTTATATAGAAATAATTTCGTAAGCGATAATTACCACATAACAACATAAAATGGTACAATACAATGTTAAGCAGCAGGTCCAAATTGGCGTCGCGTCTGGCTGCTACGCATAATGCCAAGTTATCTCGCGTCAAAGAGCGCTAATATTTCCCGAATATTTTTAGCACCGCTTAATCTTGTGTTCGGATTGGTTATTTGTTTCTCCTTTAGAAATATAATAAAAACAAAAATATTTAAAAGATATATCATATATATCAATTTAATGATATAACGTTTTTATATTTTATTGATCTAGCTGAAAAACAAATTCTACTTTTTTGAGCGATATGAAGCTAATTAGTTTATCTGTTGGTTCTGTTGTTGTGTACCTTTTTCCCCATTTGAGAACGTAGCGTCACATTACCAAGGTTTACATGAAAGGTCTCGCCCTCTTGAAAGAGATGGATAATCTGTTGTACTAGTGAAATATCGATAATATTTAGAGGTATACCTCTATGTACCTTGGATAATTGTAAAGGTCATTGTACTTGAGGGGATCAATGTTCGTTATTTTCGAGGATGAGTAAAAATACAAATACCTTAACAGTAAAACTAAGATAAAAAAAACCCAACAGACACCCAGATTTCACAAAACTCTCATCCCTTTTGTATCAAACTTTTTGTAAAGACATGGCAATTACTAACTTCTTTATACTTAATCTTAGATACCGTTCTCGATTGTTGGATTGATGCGGGACATCTCGACGGCAAGATGCGTGTTCATGTGAGAAATGTTTCTCTCAAAGAACACAAGCATCGCCACACAAAGAGACCTAAACACAGAGGTTCCGTATCCAAAAACCTCGGCGAGATTGGTGATGATCCAGGTATGTAGTCAAATGGTTGTTTTGTCTCAATGTCAGTAATATGTAATTTGATGTTTATACCTGTACATCCAAATCGTTCACCTTGACAATTCGTGTCGTTCCGCTGCAGAATACGGGGGTAGCGCTGCCTATCTGAACAGTGGTGCGAGTTTCGCCAGCATAGACAGTGTTAGCGGAATTCCCACCTCAAACAGCGCCACAGATATCCAAACAGAGGGAGATAACTCGGGCTCATCAAATTATAAGGTATAAACGCCACGAGCAGTGTTAACAATTTCAAGTCGACAGGAAAAGATTGTAATGCTATACGTGAATATTTTTAAAATGTGGATTTGATTGAACAGATATAAAGAATTGTTAGATAAAAACGCCAATGTATTGATTTGGGTGTCGTATATTTTAACACTGACTCGTCGCAATAAGATTTTATATTCACTTTTTCTCTCTTCTCTGTTTCCCTCATCAGCCAAACATTAACTTCATGCGTAAGATCCCGAAGGACGCAGAGGTTGCTAGTGTGATGGTGGGCGAGATTGATGATCTCGACAGTCGAATCGTCGCCTTTGTGAGACTCAAGGAGCCACGGAACCTTGGAGATCTGTGCGAGATCGCTAAACCTGTCCGGTTTCTGTTTTTCTGCTTCGGACCAAAGGGTAGTGAGACGGACAGTACGGAGATGGGTCGATGCATCTCCACCATGCTTGTTGATGATGCAAGTTATTTACTTGTTTATTTCTTAGCTGTGCATTTCAGACATTTTGATAAACATACGCCACGTTGATACATTTTTCATATGTAGTTTTAATCAAAATCGATGCTTTTAGAGTAACCACTTTGCTTGGCATTACATAAATGTTTACTTTATACAAACTAGTTTATAAGTAAATGCAATATTAAAACTTGTTCCTTTCAATGTTTGACTGTAGATTTTCCGAGAGGTTGCCTACAAGTGCCGTGATGACGAAGACTTTAAGGCTGGTATCGATGAATTCATGAACCAGGTTACAGTGCTGCCACCTGGCGAGTGGGATCCAAAGATCAGAATTGAACCACCGAACAAGGTCCCTTCGCAGGTAAGCATTCGTTGCTACAGGTAGGTATTTTAAAGACATTTGTAGTACTTCGGCAGACTGAAAATAAACATGAAAGTATTTATGGTTTGGATGGTCGTTTAACCGGCGCATCTTTAGTACAACATACTTTTTCCCCAATAGGAGTTCCGGCGTGCCTCCGTCCACAACGTGTTGGGTGGTTCCATTGATCAGAAGAGCGAGTCGGCAGAAGATGATCATGGCGGCCATGATGACCCTGCCTTAGAACTATCTAAAATGTAAGCTTACTTGTCTCCAATTATAAAAATGTGTCCTTTAAAATTTAACAGAATGAATCGTTTGTCGATATAACTTCTTCCTCCGGCATTTGTGTACAATCCGATACTTGATAGGGTCCTAGTATATTGGTATGTTATCTAACGTTCTTTTTAATCACATGTTCTTCAGTTAATGAACTGCCGAAACAAAAATATGTTGCGCAGAAGAGTGTAAGATGCGGTATGAACATCTAGTATGAATATTTGCTGAGATGTGTTTTTTAAGTTAAAATTATCCACAAATTGACAGCTATAAACGAAATGAAACAGACCATGCATGCGCTTTCAGAATGTGTTTTTTCCTTAGAGTCTTATGATAAACACACAGTTTCCTCCGTAGTTACGAAGCTGATAGTGTAGCTGCTGTTTTCATTATATTACAGACCGTTTAAGGGCCTGGTGGACGACATCAAAAGGAAGATTCCTTGGTACTGGAGTGACTACAAGGACGCCATCCACATCCAGTGTCTAGCCTCATTTGTTTACGTGTTTCTAGGAACGTTGACACCAAATGTCACATTTGGAGGTCTCTTAGGAGAAGCCACAGATCAGTATATGGTAAGACAAACCGAACATACGTTTCTTATATCATGATTTATGATAGCTGGTGCGTGTAGGGACATCTTTTCAGTATCCAACACTGGTATTGCAATCCATTAACACAAAAAGGCAAAAACCTGTTTAACTCTGAATGGTCAAAGGGTATATCTGTAGCCTCTTACGAGAGTAGTTCAGACAATATCAGAATTCTTTGTTCTGATCTGACTCTATTGAAGGATGATAAATGCATTTTCAGGAAAAATGTTTTTTACAAAATACTTGATAAGTATTTCTTTATGTTTATTCATAACCGATTTAGAAAAAAAGGCTCCTAAGATTCTCCATGCATGTGATAGGTCTTGATAGGTACGGTATCAAATCCATTGATCTACTCAAATATCCCGTTGTATGAGTCCTGTTAGTGTTTAATGTCCATCATTTGTTACTGTTAAAAGGGTGTGATGGAGTGTATATTCGCCGCCGCTGTGACGGGAATAATTTTTGCCTTATTTGGAGGTCAACCTCTCAACATACTTGGCAGTACTGGTCCGATGCTGGTGCTGGAGTCCATCATCTACAACCTCTGCAAGTACGTTTTATGTGCATGTGTCAGGTTTACATGTATTCAGGGTAATTTAGGACATGCATGTTTCTAGTGATGAATTTTCACAAAGTTGGAACACTATGTAGTTAAATGACAACAGTATTTTCATACCTGGTCGAACCTACCTTATGACTTCTTGAATTCAGCGATTTTCTGTATTGTTTTTAAAACTAAAAATAAAAAAGTAAAAACTTGTTTAATTATAATGAGTATTCTACGTTCCCTAATGTAATCAGAACTCGATATTTGAATATCACATATCAATAGGGAAACGGTAATTTGTCTTGATATTATTGTACATTTAGAACTCTTTCCTGGTAATAAATACATTTCCAGCTGAACCCATAACTGTCGAGTGTATTCTGGTTCTATGGCTTTTTTAGGGACAACGACTGGGAGTTTTTGCCAGTGCGGTTCTGGGTAGGAATGTGGACAGTATTTATCATAATGGTGATTGTGACCTTTAACCTTAGCGCTTGGGTAAAATATATAACTCGATTCACTGAAGACAGTTTCGCAACACTAATTGCGATCATCTTCATCGTAGAGGCTTTCAAAAAGGTAGGAGACATCGGCAAAGAAAACCCAGTTAATCTCAATCCACATGAACCCATTCCAACCGACTGCGCATGTATTCCACGCAACTGTACCGGAAACTGGGTAGCGAATAATACCACAAACATGACGACAACAACTTTAGGGTACACGTGCGATGACGTGTCAAATTTTACCGACTCCATGTGGGGAACTATGACGATCACTGCGTGTCAAGCGTATGGTGGAACTCCTGTTGGAGCCGGATGCAACCCTCCTCACTATGTAGCAGATGTGTTTTTCTTCTCTATCCTCCTGTTTATCGGGACCTTCAGTACCGCTGTCGCTCTGGTGGAGTTTAAAAGTAGTACGCTTTTCCCGTCTGTGGTAAGTAGTACTCGGAAAAAACTTTGTGAAACATGTTCATGGAGTAGGATAGATCTCGCATTGCCTGACTCAGTCATAATTTCTGTATCATTGTAATGTTATTTCCAAATATTTCCAAATAAGTTGAATATTTACAGATTGCATTATTTTAATTTTCCTTAAGCAGATTTTTAGTTAAGTAATTCATTCCTCGTTATATCTGCACCGAAGACATTATTTGACGACATCCATCTAATTTCAGCTCTGAAATGAAAGTCATAATGGAACCAACTTAAGATCATCTTATCATAAATGAAACACCTGTTATGGACACGTGTTAATGGAGATCCGAATCTGATCTTTTTCGATACATTTTCTATTGTTGTATATTAAAGTGAGTTTAAATGGTATAACGTTTTGGGGTGGTATAAACATGCAAAACCGTTGTCCCAAATGAGCCGTAAAACAGTTTTAATATGAAACTTGTACTCAGATGACACGGTGAGGGGAAAGTGATCTTCAGTATTGGAAGACAACTTACGGTAAAGTAAACAGTTATCTACAAAAAATGTGTTATCCGATGGTACCAGACAAATCCTGTATAGGAAAAATAATTAACATTCTGCAGCGACCTATGTACATTGCTCTACAAAAATGTTATTTTTTTTTGTTTTTGTCCACAGACGACAAATGCAAGTGTATGACAGTGTTAGCAGATCGCGTTGTTCTTCATATGTTGTAGGTCCGCCAGAGGATGAGCGACTTCGCGGTGCTGATCGCCATCATAATAATGGTTCTACTGGACTACTTCATCGGTCTGGACACACCGAAACTGACCGTCCCTGACGAGTTCAAGGTATCTTGCATTATCGCATTCAGGTCTGTCAAATGTTATAATAAACATATAGGAGCTGCCAAGTAGAACAGAATCCATAAGTAATCGGTTACATCAGATTTATATCGGGCAACTGTGCGGGTCACGCTTGAAGGGACATTTTTAACTTATCTTTATAATTTCTTTGAAGTACAAGTGGCTCAGGTGTCTTTAGATACATAAAATCCCTTAATGGTTTAAAATAAAATGATAAATCGATTCCTACATCATTGATTGTTGTACATTATCATTTATTTAACAGCCTACCAGGCCCGGACGTGGGTGGGTGGTGAACCCCTTTAGTGAGAGAAATCCCTGGTGGTTGTACATCGCCACAGTGGTTCCTGCTATTCTGTCTACCATCCTTATCTTCCTCGACCAGCAGATCACTGCCGTCATTGTCAACAGGAAAGAGAATAAACTGAAGGTAAATCCTTATATCGTAACTGTCACATTCTCCGTGTTTGTTACATACGAAGAACAAATAGTATACATCGCATTCCATTTGATTAAGTTTTCTTACGTCATAATTCCTTTATCCCTTCTCTTCAAATGGAAGACATCCCTTCCCGTTTTAACTACTACAATAAACTCCTTGAGGTTTAACGAATTCCTCTATTAACCTGCGTGGTAGTTCTCAATATAAATTGATTTGTGAATACGGAATACGACATTATACAAAGCTTTTGATATCGTCATCACTTTATAGAAAGGTGTGGGGTACCATCTGGACATGTTTGTGGTGGCCATAGTAGTGGGTATCCACTCTGTCCTTGGGTTGCCGTGGTACGTGGCCGCTACCGTCTCTGCTCTCGCCCACATCAACAGTCTCAAGAAAGAGTCCGAATGTACCGCACCCGGAGAGAAACCCATGTTCCTTGGCATCAGGTACGTAATTTCACCCATCGGTCAGGTCACACGTCATCAATATCAGTACACTCTATGTGATGACATCATCACTATCAAATAGTCAACGTCATCAGTTCTAGTAACCCATATATGAGGGTGTCTCCACATTTTCAACAAGAAGAAAAATTGTTTTTGGATCTCAGAATGGTAAAGGCATCACATTTGAACACTATAGTTTACCAAAAACTTCTCAGCTAATCTAGTAAAGATCATTTCTCAGTAAGTGTAAAATTTGATCACATGTCATATAACGAGACTATGTCAAACTTAGACGCATGTTTAAAATTTAATCAGTGTTATTGTCAAAGACCTTGACTCACCTGAATTTACAACACCAGTCAGTGAACATGCTGACGTTATTTTCGTTCAATGCTAATATTGTTTTGTCTACTGGGAATCAGACAGGTATCCGTCATAAGTCTGGCGTTTTTGTTTTATTACAATACCTATTCTTTGTTTTAGATCGGAGAAATTTTGATAACTTATCATTTTATGTCGTTATAACTGGAGTTATATATTGTACCATCACCTTTATCAGGAACAGATTGTCATCCTTCCTTATGGCAGATGTTTTTTACAATGTGTTTTATGTTTTAGGGAGCAGAGAATGACTGCCTTGTTTATCGGTATCCTTAGCGGCCTGGCCGTCCTCATTACTCCCGTCCTAAAGGTAAACTGGAGTTACCTCCTCCTGCCTAATGTTATAGGGAGAGACATAATGACTCTTCATACATCTTAACATACATGTATAAACATATTTTCGCGTAGAGTCGAACCTTGTTATCTCGAACTCGTCGGGACCATAAGAAAACTTCGAGATAACCGAATATTCGATTTAAGTGAATTCGAAATTAGACAAGGACCAACGAAATGCTTCAAATTAAACGGAGTCTTCGAGTTATACGAGTTCGAGGTTCGACTTTATATCTAACGAATATAAAATTTAGCTTCATTTTACATCCAAATATCAAATGCTTTGTAAAGTAATACTCACTTGTGTTTCATTTGTTTGATATCACATAGATAAAATGTTTCTCTGGCCGTAGTGTATTTAAACTGACTTGTAATATCTTCCCTACAGATGATTCCTATGCCCGTGCTGTATGGTGTCTTCCTGTACATGGGTTTTTCTGCTCTCAGAGGCATGCAGGTAACGAATAATACACATCTAAGATAGCTTTTTGTAAAAAAATCTAGTTACCAAATATAGTGTTTTATGTGAAGATTAGTACTCAGGCGTGATATAAAGTCGAATTAAAACGGCTAGGAATACAAACTGTTATAGTATTATCAGGAATAAAATCTACCGTTCGATGATATGACACCATAGCAAACGTGATGAGAAAAATGGAATTTACACATAAAAGGACATAAAGAAATGTGAAATCAAATTAATGTTGTATAACAAAATAAAAAATGATACATTATGTTTTATGATGCAAAATGACATCAAGCTTAATACTGCTCGTCAACTAGTAAAGCTAGACATTCGATGAAATGTTATTTAGTGGAACTAGAAATCATGAAAAATGTTGTATTTGTTTAAACTATATACTATATACAAAATTTACCGCAATATAAAAACCAGAATTATAACTTAATACTTTACTGTGAAACCAGAAAATAAATAAAAAGTTGTATTATGAAAATAGAAAATATTTTGAGAATGAAACAGAAATGTATAGACGTTCTGAAACTATAAGATAAAATATGTAATGTAAGCTGAAGATCTCACATAATGTTGTTTTGTCTAGTTGTGATGTTATCTAAAATAACACATTTTGTTTACCCGTGACTTGAGGAATCAAACACAATGATCTTTGTTACAGTTCGTGGACAGGCTGTTCCTGTTCTTCCAGCCCGTCAAGTACCAACCGGACCTGCCGTACATACGTCACGTGCCCTTGTGGAGAATCCACATGTTCACCATCATCCAAATCCTGTGCCTTGTTATACTGTGGGTCGTGAAGACCATTAAAGCTATCTCCATCGGTTTCCCTCTCTTAGTGAGTGAACCACAGTTCCTATATTTATGTTTTAAGAGTTCCCCTCTTACTACAGAAAGAAACGGTGCATTCAGAAAATATAATATCTAAATATTCATAATCAAATCTTTGAATATATATCCGTAAGTCTGATGGTTAGCTGCAAACTCAAAAGGTTAAAACTATTAAGGTCTTAAATACCATTCAAAATGTAAACCAAAACATAATTTACTGTGTACACAACACAAACTTACTATGAATATTATGATATAGATACATAGATAAAGCCATTTCGTTCTCAGCAGTATTACTTTTTACTGAAGCAACAAAGACGTTAAACATGTTTGTTACCTGACACTGTTCAGAACCGTCTTTGTCTCACTCAAATGTTATTCGAAGTACATGCTTTCCCTTTCACAATTTTGTTTCGTGTGTAAAACATATTTGTGTATTTTCTTATGATATCTGTAAAAACTACCTGTTTGGTGATATATATATATATACTAAACCAATGCTGTATTCACTAGGTGCTGGCGACGGGCGTTGTTCGCAAATTGATGGAATGTGTCTACACACAGAACGAGCTACGTTATATCGACGATCTGCTTCCCGGTGTCAAAGACAAAGGAAAGGATAAGGTAGGTGTGATGTCTACATATCCATACACCCCTCGTCACTAATCCTGTATTTAACGACAAGTTAGTATGTTGTCATGTTTACTACACTATACACCCCCTCATCACTAATCATAGGTTTATAGACAGGGTAGTATGTTATCATGTGTATTACATTATATACTATGCTATCAGCATACCAAGTGTATTCAATCTCTGAAACATCTGGACGAAAAATATTTTGTTTACTAGTTTGAGAGGTGTGGGATTGTTGAACTACAAAACTGTATATTTAGGACGTAATCCCCAAAAAAACATGCTTTAATTCGTTCGAATAGTAGCACGGTTCAGAATATACACATTCAACATTTAGGCATCAGTGACTATTCCTAGAAGGACGAAAGGGTTGTGTGATGCACTTTAATTCAGTTTGGATCTACTGCATATTATGAATTAGGTGGTGCTGTTTATTTGTTTGTCTTTTGTACTATCATTATGCGTCAATTGTTTATCTGTATCCTGTATGTCTACCGTCTTGCAGTCCATCACGCATTGTGTTATCGTTCCTATAGAACGTATGAGATCTAATGAATACATTTTCTATATCCGTTACATTCACAAAGGAATATATCAAATGAAATATCACTGATGTTATTAAAACTGCTGATGCAACTAGAAATGTACATTCAGAGCATGAAAATATCTTTCTATCCATGTCAAAGTTTGCATTGTCTTGTAAGTCAGCGCTTAAAATTTATAAATTCATAAAATTATGATCAACACGTAAAATTCCAGTCATTTTAAAGCTGCAGTGTTCACTAATACCATATTTTTATGATATTATCAAAACACGGAAATACCGACACGCTAACAGAATTCCAAATCCAAAGTCGATGAAACTGGCAAAATAATAACAAAAGAAAGACTCTTGAAACAGAACAAATAGAATAAGCCTAGGTGTTCATAGAACTGATTGGACGAATCACACAGTAGGTTATTGATTACCAGTCGAAGACACGCCCTTCTTTTTACTGACGATTTTATCACGATTATCTCCCCTAGTCTGTTCCCAAACACAGCAAGCCCGCTGTTTTTTTTTTTTTATTATTTATTTATTTTAAGATCTAGATGAGACTTGGAAACATTTTGAATGTCGAAACCAGTTACACACAACGTTAGACAAATATAACTTTATTCAATTGATTAAATCATCCTTAAATTTATTTAATAAGCGGTCTATATTCAGTCTTCACCACTCCATTCTAACTCCGATGTCTTTGGCCCACACTACCATGACGAAAAAATACATGCGCACATTTAATATATTTTCATCTCTAAACGTGTTGTTCCTTGTAACAATATCATTCATTCAAAATCAAACTAAGGCAGTCTTTCCATTAGAGTAACAGAGCATATCGTTAGGTTGTCTTTAGGCTCTTAGCATCAATGACGAGCCCTAGAAGGCTGCAACAATTGTTTGATTGTTTGTCTCTAATTATAATTTTGAATTAGGTGCTATTCACTTGTTTGTCTTTTGTACAATCTTCTTTACAATAGCATCGATAATGTTGCTGAATAAAGCAGTGTCATAAGCCAGGTAATGTGTCAGAAATATATGTTCAACTTTAAAGAATGATTTTTTCCTCCTAATAATCCTGAGGAACCGATTGTTCCTTTACAATATTTGAGAGCACCGCATATTATCTATACGTGTCTGATATATTGGACAATTTGCTTACTCCTTTTTTCTCTCTTTTCTTTCAGGAAAAACACTCCGTGCCATATAAATCTTTCGACGGCAATGGGAGCTCCACAAAAAACGGCGTGAAAAATGCAGACTCTTTATCGAAACCGTCATTCTTTCTTTCCGAAGAATGTGAACTCAACAAACGACCAGGTACCAATTCAAAAAACACCAAACTCTAATGCCGGGCAATAATGAAATAGAACATTATAGTGTCGCTGTTTATTTCTTCATAATAAACACCACAAGATTAGTATAGCAATTTCTCTACTGCGCAGTCACGTGACGCTCCGCCATTTTGTCTCTAATGTCTACCCACATACAACTCATAAACTGTATGAAGTGCAAGATGTTCTTGAAATCCTACAAGATGACAGTGATTACGTGCGGTGACATTCTATTACTATTTAGTCAAGGTATAGATGTGGAAATCCAGGTAGAGATCGCTAGTTTGAAAACATAATACTAATTATGTTTTGAAAAATCATGCTTAGAGTAGATATATCTTTTCTACACTATTATGTGCTTTCCCTCTTTTCCCCTTACATAAAGTACTATTTTTCAGTGTGTATATAATTAGTAGAGATTTATTGGTAGGCTAGAACATCTAAGTCACTTCATCATAGTTACTGCTTATATGATCTGTGATAACCTTTTAGAATAGTACCCTGAAAATCAGCTGCCGATCATTCCAGTGTGTATCATTTTGTTTGTTATGAAATTTTACCGAAATCCAAGATCAATTTTGCCTTCCATTTATAAAGCATTTGTGTATTATTTACACACAGTTTTTTTTTAATTCCTTTAGCATACTTGTTAGATAGTTCTAATTGCGAATATTCATTTATTTCACGGCAAATAAGAAATTGTAAGTTGTTGCATCAAGTACTCTCTCTCTCTCTAAACATAGAAATGGCATAGCCTCGGTACAGGCCTGTCAAAACACGAATATGTATGTTTATGGTATGTCTATCAGCAGAATTAATCTCTTATGGCAAAATTTTCTTTAAAATCATCTTAAAGGTAAGGTTAGTTTACACATACAATGTCATCAATGTGTTACTATGACATCTAAAGGTCAAAGGTTAATTGATCGTTTTGGTTATCTAAATTTACATACATGGTTGCTTGCCAATAGTATCGTAGTAATAGGCGAGGCTGTTTACTGTGAGTTTCGTATTATTGAACTCCGTGTAGGTTATTCAGCATATTGCGCATTAAATCAGAAGACACCAAGTCATGAATATGGCAATGGGGTAAAGGTCTTTGACCATTAGTTTGTAAAATTAATTTCATTCTATTATATATTCATGAATTTTTAAAACATTTCTCAACGCAAAGTGACTATTTTATTTCATGTCTTAAATACACTTCATATATATTTTTTAATATTTTGAATCCTTTTATACATATTACTGTTATTTACGTTGAAATGTTTAGCTATATTCAAATATATTGTATGTAGAAATTCGTGAATAAAACAAGTGAAAACAGACGTGTTTTATTTGTATTTATATCTTATTAACAAGAATTTTCTCCTCGCTCATTTCCTATCGGCTCAACGGAAGCTAGAGTTATCGTTCCTTATACACAAGGCACTTTGGGAAAAAAAGACATTTTCTTCTAACATGAGTTTATAACAAGTTACAGTCATGTTAAGATTGTTTTATCAATTCTTTTATAACCTGAAAATAAAGTAAGTCCTTCATACATTCCAAATGATCAATCATCAATTTTCGATATAGCCAGATACTGCAACTATCCCTTCTGTAAAGATTTAAAATCGAAAAGTGAAATAAATGAAATAAGATTTAATTAATATTATACAAGTATTATTTCCTCGATCATGTTGTGTTTGTTAAATAAAGAATCTAAATCAACACAGATGATCGATAATGACCTGTAATCCAACACAACAACTCCATGCAGAATATGACCAACAACAGAACCTGACTTGTTGAGATCTATCTGGGAACGGACTGCACCCTATATACTATAAGGCATATGTCTACCCTAGTATAAGCTCTAATCAGTCATACAAGAGAATAAGGTATTTTACTGAGCTCGAACCACAAAATGTTTAGAGAGTTTACTACACGTGATATAGAACGTGGAGAGAAGTGCCTACCCCTTATGTGGTGGTATGGCTTCATAGCATGGAACAATGTTTAAAGTTTATAGTTTAAAACTATTATTTGTTTCTATAGCGCAAACTTTCCTATTATCAATTATAACGAAAGTTAAGCAACGTCACTTTTATCATAACGATATGATTTCAAGTATGATTTAAGCATTACAGGAAAAACTGGTCAATGAGTAGCAACTCACAACCAATAGATTTGAAACCGTGGGACAATATTAAGCTAGTGAAATCTATATTGCATGTAAAACAATATTAAGTTACACAGTATTGCAGTTATATTTGTTATCATAGTACATTCATCATATCTAATACAAACTAAATTAAGTATGAATATTACCGAATGTAAAATATGATAGACTGGACGTCGTATATCGGAGATATTATTGGTATGACTTAGGATCTTGTCCATTATGACATTTTGAAAAGGAGTTATAAGTGAATATAATCCTGAAAGAATATACAATATAGACCAAGATTATAAGTTTAGCGCGTGGAGTTTGGCGTAGCCCAGTGGGTAATGTCATTTATATACATGTACACTGTTGTTCTAATTTACAAACTGGATTAAAATTAAGAGCAAGTCATCTTATCGTACGAGCAGTAAGACGGAAAGTCAATGGTTCAAACCGAGATACCGTGGACCATTCAGTATAAGGGACATGATTAGAAACTGGCACTGCAGTTCTCACAGCTAATTATACCACATGCATGAACAAAATTTGATATTTTTTTTATAGAAAATAAAAGCCATGAAATATTTCATCAACAAATGCAGAATAAGTTTACAAAACTGTTTTATTAAAATCATCTTTCTGATATTTTTCACCCGAGAGCTGCTGTCTCACTCCTATAATTGCCACTGGATTGTATTTGTAGACTGTGTATATTGTATATTAGATGCCTCGTCATCTAAGCCACATATAGATAGGATCAAGGGATGTAGAAAGAAACCAGAGTTGTTAGAATGGGCAAAACTGGAAAAATAACCAAGGGCAAATTGTTTCTGGCATTAATTGGCAAACGAATATGAATTTGGAAGTTGGTTCATTAACGAACATTGCCAGCAGTCTAATACAACCTTAATCATCACACGTGCTGTCATTCTTAGAGGTAGCATACCTATGGCTATATCCCTCCTTCTCAAAAATCTTTCTATTAGTTCTGTCTTCGAATTCACTAACCTATCAATTTATCCAAAACTGTATTTAGAAATCAAATAGTGCACGTGAGTTAATTGTAATGAAATTGATATTAAAATGGAAAGAAAATTGATCAGCATGATTAACATAATTAAAAAAGCTCAATATCAAATTGAAGTAAACTATGCCTCCTTATCAAACGAAAAATATTAAATGAAAAGAAAGATACATTTCAATAATAACATTCAAACCAAAAGATAGTTATATTTTTATATTTAATCGAAATTCAAATCAATAATCTTATTAAATGTCGGATAAACTTTGATATCGAACAATACACCAAATAAAAATAAATACCAAAATTAAAACAAAACGAAAAATAAATAAAGAGGCAATACCGACGTGTCATCGGAATCATAATCAAGACTCCAATTCCAGGAAACTAGAGCAAAATAGGAACAACAGAAAATTTGCACGGAATCCCTTTTAAAAAATGCAAGGAAATAAGACTGTGCGTTGCAGAAGGGTGACCGCCTTCTGCTTCTTCGACGACATCTGCCATGTAAATCTTGGTCAATCCAAGTAAGTAATGTCACTTTCTCAGATGAGACATTGCAAATAACAACACAACCAACAATCGCACTATAACTGTACATATAGCAAAAGAAATCAGAATATTTCCCAAAATGACATTCTTTTCATCTTATGTTCATTGGTCTCCTTCAGTCCAATACTGTCTAAGCTAGTTAAGTTTAGGGTAGCTAGAACTGACACCTGTCATGTCCACCCAAGTAAGTAATGTATATAATGTCACGTGATATAAGGTGTTATACCAGCGTATTTCACTTTCTTTCACATAAGATAACTTTGTTTTTCAGTTTGTTTTTTTTTATCTATTTATTTACAGACTTATTAAACGGAATATTTATGACGTCATACAAATGTACACATGATATAGCTACAAAGCACTTTTCTGGTGGAATGATGTCTTCAGAATCTGCAGGTGAGAGGTCTACACAATTGTACAACATGCAAACATATTTAAGTTGTAAATGCATTTCATTTTAGGAATTCTAAGCTCAAAATTATCAAGGATAATATTTCGATATATGCCAGAAGGTGCTCTGTTTAAACAATCATGCTTTTCAGACATCACATCATTGAAAACAAAAACCATGTCACGTGATATCAGACAGTATTTATTCAAACCATCTATAACATTTTATAGATTACAAAGATCTGTAAGTCCACGTTTATCTTATCAAAATATATGACTAGAATGGCTCACAATACAAGAATAAATGTTTACAAACACCTGCAGGTAGGCACATGTGAATCCTATACTTAGCTAATACGTGATGTACTAACATCCGGGTCATGTATCTGTGTGAATTCTGTATTTAGTAAATACATGATGTACTAACATCCTGGTCATGTTTTTTGTGAATTCTGTACTTAGTTAATGCATGATGTACTAACGTCCGGGTCATGTTTCTGTATGAATCCTGTACTAACATCCAGGTCATGTATCTGTGAATCCTGTATTTAGTTAATACATGATGTACTAACATCCAGGTCATGTATCTGTGAATTCTGTATTTAGTTAATACATGATGTACTAACATCCGGGTCATGTATCTGTGAATCCTGTATTTAGTTAATACATGATGTACTAACATCCAGGTCATGTATCTGTGAATCCTGTATTTAGTTAATACATGATGTACTAACATCCAGGTCATGTATCTGTGAATCCTGCACATAGTAAATACATGATGGACTAACATCCGGGTCATATTTCTGTGTGAATATCGTACTAAGATGATGCATGATGTACTAATATTTGGATTTTATTGGAAACAGTAGAATCAAAAGCTCAGTTTAAATCTTTGTCGGATCTAATAGCTCAACATGTAATGTATATTGTTTGAAAACGATACTCTTCGCTTGTGTTAGAGAAATGTTATACAATAAAAAAAAACATTTGATGGCGTGAAACATGACGTAACGTAAAAATATGGTTGATGTTTGATATAACAAAGTAACCCGATCATGTAATCCATCATTCCCTTTGTCAATATGCTGCCCTGACTACTCTTTTTTCTTCTTAAAAATCAAACACAAAATATGTGATGATGGCTCAAATGTCATGACATTTCTCAAATACAACAAGCATAGATTTACATTCCCGCATTCAAAATGTCAATATATTTTTTTCATTCTATTGGTTCAGTTTTTAAGTGAAATAGTGATAAACATTCCCGGTTTTCTCAGTCTTTAGGTCATTATGTTAAGTTTACATTAGTCACTAACTTATCTATTAAAGTAATGCCGGTGAGAATATTGAAGGAAAGCTGCAATATGGTAGAAGGAAAATCATAAAAGAAAAATAATTTCCCTTACTTGAAGCTTGAAAGAAACACGAACATAATGTTATTGTAGTGGTGAAGTTTCATACAAATATTTAACTGTATTCAGTTAGGATTGTATAGTTATAAGTCTGAGTATGAACATTATCGTTAATCAGGGACATACACAAGCCTAGAAAACTATGTCACGAAAATGGTTTAAAAAGAGACAAAAATGGTTGGAGAAGAGTGCTCTTCAAAACATGTTTTTTGAAGATATCATGTTTGAAATATGAGTTCTAGTCGAAGAACGCTGGCACACAAGATTACTTAGGTAAAGTAGTATTTCTGGAAATCCTGTCCCTTTCCCAAATACTTTTCACGCTGTCGTGATTTCATGATGGTAACCGTAATGTAATGCTCTCAATAGTTCAGGAAATCCTGTCCCTTTCTTAACACTTTTCACATAGTCGTGATTTCATGGTAGCTACCGTAATGTAGCGCTCTCAATAGTTCAGGAAACCCTGTCCCTTTCCTAACACTTTTCAAAATTTAAGAAGTAAATTAGAACTTATAGTCTCGTATTTTTTATAAAATGATGAGTATGCTGTGTCACTTTCCAACTGATAAAGAATGATTTAAAGCAATGTACAATATAATATCGTTATACCAAGGCATGGGTGCATAATGCGTCCCTGTCAAAGGACATATGTTTTGATACACACGTTATTGAATAAATAAATAAGAGTTCATATATAATATTGAAAAGATAAATGGGCGTGGGTCAATAAAGAGGTTGCATTTATCAGTAAAGGGTTAAGTCCTGAAATATACGCTCTCAATGATTTCTCTAATTAATACCGTATATTGTAGTATAAAAACATGTAGAATGTAGCTTGTCTCCACAGTATTTTATAGCCTATGTAAATATCCATTAATTAAATATAAAAAACATGGAATTTCGTATCAAAATATTGATAAAATTGTATGAGGCACATTGTTAATGTATACAAAAAGTAGCTACTCTGACCGTTTTAATGGATGGATTTTGATATGAAATGCTCATTTTGTAAAATATACACTATTCATATAAAAAAGATTTTGATATCAAATATGATGAAATCAGTTATAAATACATGTATTTGCATATGTATAAATATTTCATAAAGCACTTCTTTTGGTTATCTGATAGATAAAACATTATTTGATCAATTTTATACATTTTCACTATCTAACTAATGAAGAATATTAAGAGGAAGTAATTGTTTATGACACATAAATTGTTGTTTGCGAGATTGACTAGAATTTTATCACGTGACGGAAGACACGTGCGAAACACTCGTTTTGAGAACTGGCAGCCACCAGCAAACCTTGTGATTCACAGTGCGCCATCAATATTTAAATACTCACGCACTCATTACCGAGGGATCGGAGGGGGTGATCCCCACGTGGGAATGCGAGTTTGTTGTATTATCAAGTTTTCAACTGTCTTTATACCTGACCAGTGCCAGTTATTAGTACCAACCACGTCAGCACTTAGTAGACATACACGACAATGGTCAGTGCAAATACAGTTCACGTTTTATAAACAGAAATGCTGAATAAAAAGTTTTCAATGCACTTGTCAACAGATTGAAATACATATGCAGATCTTATAATTGTCCGCAGTAGGGCACAATGGTGTCAAATGAACATGCAAACTTTTACTATCAAACAGTCACATAACATCGGTCAATACTGTATACGGATGAATAACACCATTTCAACCCGTCACGTCAAACAAATTTGCCGTCGTATTCATCATTGCGAGATCCGTTTCTACATGTGTATCCGTCTGGAACTCGACAAGATCATCCAACAATGTGTAAGAGCTACAATCCGGAACACTTGGCACAGGTCCGGGCATAGCATTAGAATTACCGTACATACCCTGTGCCAAACCGTTGCATTGATATTCCACAGAATTGTCACAACGAAGAAAATTGGAAGACGTCATAGCTTCCATTTGTAGAGAAGAGTTGGCTGTCTGTGCTTGTAAGGGACTGTTGTTTCTTGGTGTGATGTACGATAGTGGCTGAGTGGAGGTATGGATGGGTGACATGTTGTTCTGGCAGGAAGTAATCGGCTGACGGGATATAGGGACAGAATGGACAGGCATCGGTGTGGTATTGACGGGCTGGCTATAACTGTTCGTGATCTGTTGCATTGGATAGGGGCTCGAATAAGGCACTGTGGCGTTTCCCGTCGAACAGAGATCATATGTGTTGTTGAAGTAGAACTGGTAGGGTTTAGAGAATGAGGACTCGGGCAGTAGAGTGCGCGGATTAAGGTGTAATCCTCCGGCTACCAGATTCATTGTATTCTGAGACAAACCCTTAGACAGGGCTTTAGCAAACGAAACACTGTCGGGTTTCATCCCGGATTTCAAAATTTCGGCCAAAGCAAATATATAGTTACGGGCAAGACGTAACGTTTCAATCTTAGAAAGTTTCTGTGTTTTGGAGTAGCAAGGCACGTGTTCACGAAGTTCATCCAGCGCATCATTTAAACCGTGCATACGATTTCTCTCTCGTGTATTCGCCTTCACACGTCGAATTCGCAGTTTCACAACACGTGCTTTTGTCATTTGTTTCTTTTTCGGTCCGCGTTTTTTAGGAATTTTTGGTTCTTGATCTGTTTTTTCTATTCCACTCTTCTGGTTTTTAGTTGCAGTATTGTCGTCCGATCCCTTGTGTTCCGATTCACATTCGTCACTCAAGTCATCAAATTCAGATATGTCCTCTTCTCCAAGTTCACTTCCTGTTCCGTCTAATCTCATGACGTCAGTTCCGGCGCTACTAGCTGTGGCAAAATCGTCAAGACTTAAATCGCTGTGTTCCTCGTCTGTAAGTCTGATCGGCATCTTCTCAACAGTGTTATCTGTAAAACAAGATCAGATCGATTAGGAACTGTAATCCTACAGATCATTTCTACCGGTTATTCATACAGTTACTGGTACAGATTACTGACAACCATAGTTAAGAGAGAACTACCGGGGGATGGGGGGAGGTGGGGGCTTGGAACAAGAAACTTTCCTTGTATGCAACGATATCTGATTTTTCTGAAACAGTATGGAACTGAATCATTAGAGAGAGAAAAACAACAAGAAAATGCTAACATGTCAACATAATCACCATCCCAAACTCTAATTCAATAAAACTACGACAACAAAAGAAAGATGGACATGGAGACTCCTAAAAAGGACACAGAGAATCAGACAAGGTGTTCCGGAACAGTGAGGAATTTGGTATACAACAACGGAACCAACAGGCAAACTAACGAGCATCAAGCGTGTTCAGTTGCCTGTCTCACAAAGAAACATAGTGTGTCTCAATAAGATCACTAGTACAAGTATTTGTTCTTATTGTCACACAATCAACCACAGTACCTAAATTATCCGAAGTGCATCTATTTATTTTTCGAGAAATGTAAACGGCCGTATAAGTATATGAAAGTGAAGTATACCACTAGTTTGGTTGTAAGATCTTCCAACAGACTATTTGCATTCCTATGGAAACTACATGTAACCGTGTCCCATTGTTGGCTGACTTGTTTTGCTTTTCCATGCGAGGGTGAATTTATCTAATAGCAAACTAAAAGAGGTCGCAAAGACCTTGAAAAGTCGTTTAATTTCACTTTCAGCTATATTGATGACGCCTTGTCTGAAATTCACGTCTATAGTATATAACCACCAGAAGTTGAAATCAGCCATTTATCTCTGTTGGAAGATCTTACAACCAAACTAGTGGTATACTTCACTTTCATATACTTATACGGCCGTTTACATTTCTTGAAAAATAAATAGATGCACTTCGGATAATTTAGGTACTGTTGTTGATTGTGTGACAATAAGAACAAATACTTGTACTAGTGATATGCATTAGTCACATTAGTAGGATTTTCGCATATCGAATATTTGTAACAAGCACATTTGTGTCATCTAGAAATAGATTGCCTTGATATGATTTTTAATATCTGTCATGAAATGTTCAACTGCGTACAAGTAAGCGTCCTAATGCTGTTTATAATCTTTTGAGTGATCACAAAAACTTTTTCCTCATCAACATACCGTTATTGCCTTGATTAAACATGTGATTTGATGGTCGGTGCTTAACCATTGTTTACAGTATCCCTCCCTTTGTGTACATGCCTTTTATATCTAGTAATCAATAACCACTTTCCTTTTCCGATTTACAGAAGTTTGTGCATAGAACATTCAGCTTAACTGTGAGATACAGGGTAACAGGACCAATATAACACCCCGGTAGTATATTCATATGAGTCCGCTAGTTGTATGCGGACGATTTGATTGAATATATGTAAAATACTGAGGTGTACCGGACAACTTTATCCGGATGTGTCCGAACGGTATATTAAGATAAGCGTAAGACATCGCTTTGTACGGAATTCGTGAGAAAAAAAATTTGCTGTATGCTGACTATGCTTCGTCATTCACCACATCACACTTATCAAGGGGACTGCTAGTTTGTGCTTTAATTCTATGGTATCAATACAATCTCGGTGTTCAATGACGCATTTCACAAATGGCCAGCAATTGTTATGATATATGACAGGTTTTAGTCACGTTAAATATCCTTATTTTATCGTATCGATTTTCCACTGCCTAATGGTATTACGACAGTTTCCGATTCGGAAGTATTAAGTCCTCTCTACAAGAAATGATAAAAATGCGTCAATAAAAAAAATCTGACAACTCTCATTTAGCGATTATCTGCACCTGTATGGCCAGTGGAACCACAGAGTACATTATAAAATATAAAACATGGTGTCCTAATTAAAGCCGGACGCCAAAGAACTACACATATCTCGTCACTAAAACACCTGTTATAAAAAAAACATCAAGGATTCATCACAGAACAGCCAAGCAGACATCACACCTGTAACACATAACGACAATATCTATCACAAGCGGATATTGTTGAATATTTTGTCTGTAAAACCACCAATGTCAGACACAAACTACAAACACTTATGTTACTGTACAGTTTAATATTTGATGTTATATCTTAACAATCATTTAACGTTTTATAATATTTATTTTGTTTACTTATAACAATTCTATACTGATGTATAATATCTATTTTGTTTATTTATAACAATTCTATACTGATGTATAATATTTATTTTGTTTATTTATAACAATCATATATTGTTTTATAATATTACCTTGAAATTTCATTTTTTGAATTTGAATTGAAATAAACATATTTTATTGTAAAGTATTTACAAAAGGATCGGGCACAAGTTATTTATAGTTGCTCTTTCCTCAATACATTACAAAACAAAAATATCACAATATCAAGTCATCAATAATTTACATAAATATTGGCTAAATATATTTTTAAAGAGAAGGGAAAGAGAGAGAGAGAAAGAGGTGGGGTGGGTGGGGGTAGGGGTTAGAAGGGATGACGTCATTGGAAGTAAAATTATAACAGAGTTTCATTTGTCTGTGATAACATTGAATATTTTTTTATTTCTCAACATAAATTATATTATTGTATATGTTAATACAATTACATTTGTCATTGCATGAAAATGTATCTTTTAATTATTCGCATCTAGCATCATAATATGATATCGTATACACAAATTATGTATATTTTTAATTGTTTGATATATAGTGATATCTATATCTGTACATGTACGGTAACTGCCGGGTTAAGTCCACCTTTACCATCGATCACGCGTCGATAAGTCAGAAAACGTCAAAATCGAGTTAATTATGAGGTCATTTAACAAATGCATCAAACGTGTGCTAGTTATTTTGAATGTACTGTTTAGTTGCTGTCGGGTGATAAAGCGCCACCTATATATATTATTACAAATGATGTCGATTTCACGAGTCCCTACAAGTGATCAGCAGCACAGCGGCAGTCACCGATTGAAAAGTCGGACTAGCAACATAGTTATTGACAGGGAAATCGTTAATGACATTGTTCAGTCTGAGATTATGTTTTATATAAAAAAAATACACTGACTACACGAGAAACATTAATCACATTTGCTTTTTTCCTCGGAGTGATTTTCCCCAGTCATCATATCTCGATTGTCTGACTCCCGACAGTGTTAAGAAGGTACTACCCAATGAAATCAAACATCCATTTATTACCAGGCCATAAGGTGTAAGATAGCGGGTTAGATTTACAACGCTGTCCTTTGTAACCAAGTTCTACCATCTGGCGATTTTTGTGAACAAATGTGCTGTCGGAGCATGCGCACTCAGTGCTGGAATCAACTTCTTCCTTCACGGGTTATTTTACGTTTCGCCTCAGTGAACACGGACACCGCTGAAGTCTGGATTTCAACCTTCGTCGTGAATTTTTTATTAGTCTTCAAATTCACAGACGATATAAGGCTACATTTTTTATATTTTGATGTTAAAATCCGACACAGAAACTGTACTAGTGTGATACCATGTTGGTCTATATACAATCAGTCCGTCACAGGAGACGCGTTAGATCTGATTTTAAATGGGGATTTATAAAATAAGTAAATCGTTAAAAAATTTGTTTCTTAATTTGTTTTTTCCATATCCTTTGTATCATGTAATGGTCAATACTCATGTACTCACAAGTGTGATTATTCTTGTCATTCTTTCTTGAGAATTTATTTTGAAGATGAAAATTTGAAAATTTGAAAAATTGGTCAGAAGTATGTGAACAAAACATAAGAAGTACTTAACTCTTAATGGGGAACCATGTAGCTAAAATGATATTTTCACGAAGTCGATAAATATGAGGATAAATCGGAAAACAGCTCGAGTGATCCCTTAAACCTCCTTTTCATTTTCTCAAACAAGGTCACTACACGTACGCATTGAAGGCAAAATTATACAGTGTATTTGTATATTTGTACACATACTGCGAAAACCCGGTATATTTGTATATATACTGTGGAAACCCCGATATATTTGTATATCTACTGTGGAAACCTCGGTATATTTGTATCTATACTGCGAAAACCCGATATATTTGTATATATACTGTGGAAACCCGGTATATTTGTATCTATACTGAGGAAACCCGGTATATTTGTATCTATATTGTGGAAACCCGATATATTTGTATCTATACTGAGGAAACCCGATATATTTGTATATATAGTGCGAAATCCCGATATATTTGTATATATACTGTGGAAACCCGGTATATTTGTATCTATACTGAGGAAACCCGATATATTTGTATATATACTGCGAAAACCCGGTATATTTGTATATATACTGAGGAAATCCCGGTATATTTGTATCTATACTGTGGAAACCCCGGTATATTTGTATATACTGTGGAAACCCCGGTATATTTGTATATATAGTGTGGAAACCACGGTATATTTGTATATATACTGTGGAAACCCCGGTATATTTGTATCTATACTGCGAAAATCCCGGTATATTTGTATCTATAGTGCGAAAACCCCAGTATATTTGTATATATACCTTGGAAACCACGGTATATTTGTATCTATACTGCGAAAACCCCGGTATATTTGTATATACTGTGGAAACCCCGATACATTTGTATCTATACTGTGGAAACCCCGGTATATTTGTATATATACTGCGAAATCCAAATATATTTGTATATACTGTGGAAACCCCGGTATATTTGTATCTATACTGTGGAAACCCCGGTATATTTGTATCTATACAGCGAAAACCCCGGTATATTTGTATATATACTGTGGAAAACCCGGTATATTTGTATATTTACAACGAGAACCCCGGTATATTATTTACGTTTCTCTCTGAAGTTAAATATTTAGGAGACAATTGCTGCGTAGCAATTACAATTATGACTTCATATTTTGTTATCGGGAGTGTTACAGATTTGCGATCTCTTT